TTCACCATTGAATTTCATTTTGTTAGATAGTGCCCAGTGTTCAAGTCTGTCCAGAACCTTCTGTATCTTAAGCCTGTCTTCTGGAGTGTTGGCTATTCCTGCCAGCTTGGTGTCGTCTGCAAATTTGATGAGTTCCCCATCTATCCCCTCATCCAAATAGTTGATGAAGATGTTGAAGAGCACTGGGCCCAGAACAGAGTCTTGGGGCACCCCACTACACACTTCCCTCCATGTAGATGTGGTTCCATTGAGGACCACTCGCTGAGTACGGCCGGTCAGCCAGCTACGGATCCAGAAGATTATAGAGCAGTGTTTCTCAACCTTGACAATTTTAAGGCATGTGGACTTCAACTCCCAGAATTCCACAGCCAGCAATGCTGGCTGTGGAATTCTGGGAGTTGAAGTCCACATGCCTTAAAATTGTCAAGGTTGAGAAACACTGTTATAGAGGGTAACCCAGATAAAAGGCAAGGGTTTCAGCAAAAGGCGTAACAGACTAAGGATTCCCTTTATTAATGAATTACATGTACAGCCGGCAAATATTTTGTGGTCTGAAGACCAGCCTTCCCTTATAGCAGGCCAGTGCTTCATCCAGTCACAGATTCTTGCTATCACAAGGGCTCACATGTCTTCATCTCATTTGATTCACACTGCCACAAGTCCGGATGCCAACATTCATTTTTCACAAGAATGCACTTTGATGTATAAACAGGAACGTTTTATTCCTAATTCTAGGTTGTGATTATCTTATGACTTGGAAAAAGAAGAAATGTGTTCTACAGTATGTATATTTAGATACAATTGTGCTCTTGGTACATAGATCTTTTTCAGGTTGGACTTTTTTTCCTGAATGAAGAATGTGCCTGGCTCTGGAGAGACTTAGCTGTTGATGATGGCTTAGAAACATAACAAATGTGACGGGGAGAAAATAATAGATGTTTATAACATTATAAGTGCACAGTACATCAATACAATATTTTTTTCTCATCTTTTCTTATTTATATTGGAATATAGATTTGAGGTCTAAGGGACTGGTCTGGACAAAACTCAGCAGCACTTTTTCGTGCGGCTGCTGATAAAAATAGGATCGTCAACATGATCGCCAACGTCTGATAACAGATATGGCACAACAAGAAGAAGATAGATTTGAGACATGTTTACACAGTACAGTTAATGTATGGAATGTATGGGACCTAATAGTGGTCAGGAACAAAGAGGGCTCTAAAAGGAGATTGGTTAGGTTCCTGAAGGAAAAGTAAATGGCTACATGGAATTCTACGTTCAGAATTACTCTGATCGGCTAGTACCCCTAAACTGCATCCGAGGTGGTGGGAAAGAAGGTGATGGGATGTGTAGGATAGTTGGGAAGGTGGAAAGAGGAGAGGTAGTGGTCAAGAGGGGGAGGAAGGAAGAGGGAAGTAGGTAGGAAGGTGGAGGGAGTGTGGATGCAGGGGGGGGGAAATGCCAATTATTTCGGAATAGGCTTTTTATGTGCTTGTTTTTCTAATGAAATGCACCATATTTGTATTATTTGTTCATATTTTATTTGAAAAAATTAATAAATTTTTTAATAATAATTAAAAAAAGAATTACTTTGCTTCCTACATTCTAATTGACAAGAGAGCAAAATGGGAGAAAACTATTGATTATTTTGATGATTATTTGTGGGCTTCTAAAGCTATCTGGTTAGCTGTGCCTGGAAATAGGATGCTATTTAAATAGACCCTTTGTCAGATCCAGCTACTCGGAGCTCCTATATTGTTTTGTTTTTTCATTTGATGTACAACTCCATCATTTTTCTTTTATCTTTTTTTTTTAAGTTTTAAAAAAATAAAAATGGAGAACTATATGGGAACAAATATCCCAATGATTGCTAGCCATAATATATTAAAACAGGCTCAGCATTAAGCACAAAAATACCTCTGATCACAAGATGTTGCAGGGAAAAAAAGTCCATTAAATCCCATTTCTAAGCTTCTCTAGTGTTTCTAGTTGGCCACTACTGGAAATATTAGTTGGTTAGGCATAGCAGTAGGTGTTCCAGAGTCTTCCCTTCTCATTCTCTGCCAGCCTCTTGATTCAGCTGCCTATCTGGCTTCAACAGACAAACAATATCTCAACAAACCCATCTACTAACTAAACTAGCATGTTTTGGGTTCCAATCCTGCAGGGAAATTTAAGCTGCTGGATCAGGACAGGGACGTCCGGGAGCCTGTGCAGTACTTCAACAGTGTGGAGGAGGTGGCGAGCATCTTTCCAGACCGTGTGTTCGTCATGGAGGCCATCACCTTCAGCGTAAAGGTTTGTTGTACTTTAGCATATGCCAGCTGTCTACAGCAGGGGTAGTCAACCTTGGCTCTTTTATGACTCGTGGACTTCAACTCCCAGAATTCCTGAGCCAGCTGTGCTGGCTTAGGAATTCTGGGAGTTGAAGTCCACGAGTCATAAAAGAGCCAAAGTTGACTACCCCTGGTCTAAAGAATAGATGGGAAATGGGGTAGAAATGCTCTTTCCACTTAGGTCAACCTCCCTCTATTCGGGTTTGATATCTGATTTCTTGACAGTTGTTTTGTTCTGCTTGGTTAATAAAGAGCTAAGCGATAGCAAAGCAAATTAAAAGAGTTTTTGCAAGCTCAGATTCGATCACGTCTGGTTAACCAAAATGGGATTTGCAATAGTTGACTATTTCATACCTGATAGGCTGTATAACATTTTTGAAGGATCAGTTTTTTAATGCAATAATCATTGCTAAAATGAGAAATTAGATAGCTGAGATTTAAGGAGTTGAAAGCAGAATATAGCCTCGCTTTCTAGTGTAAATTGGCCTCAAAGTTCAGAACGATGCTTTAACTTTTGGGCTTCCCCAAAAAAGACAACTGGTTAGCCACTGGGAGAGAGATGGATCATTGAACTGGCTGGATCTCTTTTGTATTTTTGACTATCTTAATGGTCTTTTTAACATGAGTTTAGGGATTTTCTCTGAATGAATAGAAATATTAATGTATCTTCTCTAATTTTATCGATTGCATTTTAAACCTGGGGTGGAGATAAGATTTGGAAAATCAAGGAGCACAGTAGAGTACTTGCATTCCTTCATTGCCTCAGGGTTTCTAGTTCAATCTGGATCTCTGCCTCTCCAATTTTAAGGTCATGAATTATCTCTAGGAATAAATAGAAACACCTTTCCTACCACAAAGCTAAACACACTCTAGGAAGAAAGTATAATGCACTTTACTGAAAACCACAACAATAATATCTAATAGGATCAAATGCATTTTTTGTTTAGACAGGGCTTGGTTTTCAGAAAAAGTAAAGGATGGAAAATCAAGTATGCACAAAGCAGAACATTTAAAAAAGTGTCACTTCCTCTAGGACAGGGGTGTCAAACCGCTGGGCCCTGGGCCGGTTGCATCATATGGAAGCCATGCCCACCCCAACTCCGGCAATGCAAAAAAGGTCATCACATGACACAGTGAGTTTGACACCCGTGCTCTAGGACTACAATGCTAATCACATATAGGGGTAATTCCCATTGAACAGAGTGGGATTTTCTTCTGGGAAACTATGTATAGAGCACTGTATCAAATCTAAAAAAGTAGCATCTTAGAACTTCATTTGCCTAATGAAATGAAAAATAGTTTCTGTACTCTGTAAAACAGAGAAACACAGGAGTATTTCCTTTTCAAGTGGTGACGGCTTTGATCTTAAAGCCAATTCAATTATCTATTTTGTGGAAATCAACAAATGTCTTTTAAGTAACCCAAATTAGATAATTTACTGGAATTTGACTTCTCTCACCCCAAACCCACGCAATCTGACATCTCTCTCAGTTGGCCGTTCAGGTGTCCATTTCTTAAACTTTTCTTTAATCTTTTGTGTCAAAGAGGCTCCTATTCTGTTTTTCCTTTTTTGATTAAATGGATACAATTCAAGAGCCTCTGAGTGGAATGAAGTCCATCAGCCCCAAATGATGGCCTATGGTACAGTACGTCTTTCTTCCATATACAGCATACACAATCACAGAAATCTACCCTTTAGTTTTTTCTCCATGGCTCACATTATGGCAGCGCTCAGCAGTAGCAGTAGCATCACAGAACCCCTCTTTCTGTGATACAAAGCCCCCCCCTTTTCTCACCCTCCATGTTGTAGAATTCTCCTTGTTAAGCCTCTTATCTATCCATTTTCCCTCGCCAATTGGCTTCTTCCAGGTTGTGTCCGGTGAGTTCAGTGAAGACAGCGAAGTATACAATTTCACGCTGCATGCAGGAGATGAATTAACACTTATGGGCCAGGCAGAGATTCTGTGCGCAAAAGCTGCGAAAGAAAAGTCACGTTTGAACACACTGCTGAGGAAGTTGGGCAAAGCAGGTGTCCCTGGCACTGGTGGTGGGAATGGTGGTAGTGGCAACAGCAGCAGCGGCAGCAACACTGGGGGTGGCAGCGGCAAACAGTTGAAGGGCAAAATGCCTTGCTTGATCTGTATGAACCATCGAACCAACGAAAGCCTCAGCTTGCCTTTCCAGTGCAAAGGGCGCTTCAGCACTCGCTCACCACTGGAACTGCAAATGCAGGAGGGGGAGCATACAATTCGCAGTATCATCGAGAAGGTGCGACTGCCTGTCAATGTGATTGTGCCCAGCCGGCCGCCTCGAAACCCCTATGATCTGCATGCCATCCGGGAGGGCCACTGTTACAAGTTGGTGAGCATCGTCTCCAAGACAGTGGTCTTATGCTGCATTCTCCGCAAGGATGAGGTGGCACCCTTCCACTTCCTCCTGCTCACAGATATGCCCCGTTTTCTGCTGCCAGAGGGGATGTTGCGTGTAGGCGGAGACTCCCAACTGGAGAAGTTGTTACGAGAAACTGCTGCTCTCTGCCAGGAATGCTTTGATCCCAATGAATATTCTAAGGCTGTGCGGGAGGCCAAGCCAGACTTCTCAGAAGAGTGTGCCAGCCCCCGCCATGTACGACTCTGTCTGCAGGGCTACAGCCGTGATGAATTGGCCCAATCCTTTCAGCGCCTCTCACTTTGCTTGTATGCTTCCTCTGAGAGTAGTTGCCAGGACCCAGCTCAAGGAGGGAGGACCCAGCGATTGCTTCTCCCCTCTCACCAAGAGCCCTCTAGCCTTATTTCTGATACTTTGGATTCTGAGCGTGAATACATGACACCTGATTGGGTGGAACCCACATTCCGGACTCAAGAGCTCCCGTATGAAGAATTGTGGACTAATCAAAACTCAGAGAATTATTCTGAATCTAGCAGCACTGTTCCTGGACTGGAGAATGCCAATAAGGGCCAACGGGATCTTATCTCTTTTGGGGGTTCACCTTGCCACCGAGGCCTGCTGCAGGAAGACCTTAACGCAGATGCTCCTCCCCCAGTTCCACCCAAATCTGAAGCGGTAAGAGATTCAGGTAGTAGACAGTTTGACGGAAAATAAAAACTGCAGCCAGGGCAAGCCACTCAAAAATGAATATGTATTTTATTGTTTAACTTGAATTAACTGTCAAAGAAAGTTGTTGTCATCCAGGGAAGGGAATATCACTTATTCAGACAAATTCTGCTTGCAGGGATGTAGATGGATAATCTTTCCATACTGAGGATTATTAGAAAATGAACTAAAATATATCATTATAAATCCTTTATAAAAATCCATAATGTAACCACAGTTGGAATATTGCTAACAGTTTTTGTCTGCACTCTTTTGAAAGTTTGAGCACTTCCTCTATAAGGAAAACGTACAATAATAAGTGCATTTTAATGGAGAGAATGGTGCATACAGACATGAAAAGTGAGGACTGGGAAAAGCTTTTCCCACGGCCATAAACGCAGAACCTTGAGGTCATTTAGTACAACTGAACTGTGGAAAATTCAGGATTGAACAATGTTTCTTATACTGTTTTACTGTCCTGCATAGTTTAACTGTAAAATTAGCTAAGCTATTTGTTAGATATATAACTTGGCTTTCGTCAGTGGCATACCTAGTACAGGTAGTCCTCAACTTCATTTAGTGACTGTTCAAAGTTACAACAGCACTGAAAAAGTGACGTACAACCATTTTTCACACTTATGACCATGGTCACGTGATTTATATGCAGATGCTTGACAACTGACTCATCTTTATGACGGTTGAGGTGTCCCGGGGTCACGTGATCACCTTTTGCAACTTTCTGAAAAGCAAAGTCAATGGGGAAGCCCGATTCACTTAACAACTGTGTTACTAATTTAACAACTGTGGTGATTCAGTTAACAAATGTGGCAAGAAAAGTCATGAAATGGGGCAAAATTCACTTAACAAATTTCTCACTTAGCAACATAAATTTTGGTCATAAGTTGAGGACCACCTGTATTTTCTTTTCTAATTATTTTCCCCTACAGGAACCATTCTGTGACATGGGCTGAGAGTGACTGAGACTGTCCCAAAGTCATTCAATGAACTTTTACAGCTGATGGTGGATTTATACCTGGGTCTCCTTGGACCGAGTCCACCTCCTTAATCACTTTGCATATTATTACAAGCCAGTCTTGAAGACTAATTGCTATTCTGCAAGCACAGCTGTAACTTCAGATGGACAGAATATAGAACTCCCCAGGAATATGCAGAAATCCAGTGTGGGACAGAAGTTGAAATTTTGACCATTTTTTATTTTTTCATTATACCACAGTAATTATTTTTCAATAGATTTTTAGAAAGCAGAAGGAATAACCTCAAATGATATTGGTCCAAGGAATGAACCTATGCAATATATTAGGCGTTGCCTTTGAATCAGGTGATCACTCAATAGATTATAATGGCTTTCCACTGGAATGGTAGTGATTTCAAAAGGATAAACAGACTATAAAGATATAGAAAGCCAATAGCATTGACCACTAGTTGTGATCTTTGGTCTTTCACCCAAGTTCATTACTGGAATATCTGAAATTTCCTAAGTCTTTAAATGCTCATGTGTGTTACTCAGGAGAATTATATAGAGGCAGTGGGACAATGGGACTAATTTAAGTACAATGGGACTTTTGCTATCCATATTTCCTTGAAAGACATTTGGGTTAATGTTGATGATTCTGTAATAAAGGAACAACAAATGGGATCTGCTCTAAAATATTCTAATATAGAATGCATTTTTCCAGCCCTGCCATTTTTTTGGGAGACCTCATTTCATTGACTCTCCCCATATTTATCAATTCCCCATCTTCTCTAGTAATTAATCAGTGTTCCATAGCTACTGTAGCTGCTTAGGCATCAGTATTGGTTTGGCTTTATTTTTCTTTGGTTCTTTATAATCTTTCATTGTTATGGTTTTCCCCATGACCGCTTATATGTTATTGTTATATGCAGAGGGTGATATTTTGGATACATAATGTACATAAATGAGTTATAATATGTGTACAGTTTATTTTATATGAATGTTTATGGCATGCAAAGAAATTAGTTGTTGCTACTAAAAATGAAACAGTCATATCAGATGCTTTTTCCTTCGGTAATACATTCTTCCTAGAAATGCAGTTTCTTTTCAGATCATTAGGTCTTTATTATGGAACTTCCTTGTTCATTGGCAGTTCAGTGTTTTTTTTTTTAAATAATGTGCAACATTGGCTTTAAAATGCCCATCTGGTTCAGCCCTCCATTTAGTATAAGGAAATTTTGTGTATATGTTTATTGAGTTAACTAAAATTTGAATTATTTTGCTCTATTTTTGTATTGAAGTGTGTTTGGAAAAGATATTGAACTCTAACTTATTGTCCATATTCTGTTCTCTTATGACAGAATATGAGGATCTTTGAGTGGAAGAGAGAGAGAGAGAATGTGATGTACTGATCAATCTGTTGATTGCTAGTTTTAAAGAACATTACTGATCCTAGAGAGGTAGGAAAATACAATACACTCTGAGCTTGGTTATTTTCCTGCCAGACGTGTTAACATCAGTATGAGTGAGAGTAGGTTTTTTGGCTGTTTGTATATAGTAGCTTGCCCTGCCAATTAATGGTCATGTAGCTTCTTCCTCAATGGTTATTTGATTAGGATATCATTTCTTCTCTGTCTCAGTTTGCTGATGGTGGTCCAGCTTTCTGAGACCATGCCAGTACAGGTGCAGCCACTGTTCCTTGAGCTTCTAGACTATCTAATGTCTCTGTCATTGGATGAGATGCATCTGCCTATATCAAACTGATGTCCAAAGTGACAGGATTTGGAGACCACAAAAACAAAAAAAAAAGACAAATACTGCTAAAGACAGCTGAAATATACATGTGAACAGTATCATAAACAAGTAGAAAAGAATTTGACAAAGTGTTGAGTAACTGTAAATAATAAATTACTGTTAATAATAAAACGTCTTTCTCTTTTTCTCCTTTTTGTGGTCTAAGTTCATCTTTGAATAACTCAATACCATGGTGAACTTTCTTTTGTCTCTTGCCTTTCTTATCTTTAGCATGGGAGACTTCCACAATAGACTAGAGATTCTTAGACATGGGATATAGAATACAGCATAGAATCCTAGACTGATGGCCAACAGGCAAATCTTCCCTGGATCTCTCTCAAGTCTTCTGTATAGCATTGATCCTAGCTTTGGTTCTGGACTTAACAGGTTAAGACTCCACCCATAAATGTTCAACCTCATTGCCTGTATGTGTTGGACTATAGATGAGTCCCATGCATAACTGGCTCTTCACTGACTTTAGTTCCAGAACAGACTCTCAGAGCTTGACATTCTCTCTGGTGGAAATTCTCTGTCATATCTGTTTTAAACCATCACCATTGATACCTCTGAAGACAGACGGGATTCATAATATAAATTGTTCAAAGCTGGTGGGTACTAACTAAGAAATCTTACTTATATGAACTGTCCGATGTTTTTTTGCAGTTTTCAAGGCTCACAGAGCTTTTGCTTACCTGTGGTACGGATCTCATTCAGCAACATCACTACACCCCATTGCATCAATAAATATAGTGGAGTCTAATCCTTTCTTTTTTTTAATCTTGCAACTTTGGGACTTGTTTGCTTCAGCAGCCATATACACATTTTGCTGCAGAGTAAGATATGATCTGTTTTCGACAAATCAGTTGTGATTTGTTTCTTCATAATTGGGACAAGCTGTTCCACTACTCCTGAATCTGGTGATTATTGAAGTTGTTTACAAGATGCCTTTTACCATAGCAAAATAATTCCTGGTAAGTCAGTGAATGTGAAGCCAGCCTTGGTTTCCAGCTCTGTTAATTTTTATTTAAAGAATCTTCTCTTTAATTCCTGTAGAGGTGAGAGTCACTGTCTAAATAACAAGAAAATGCACTTTTTGGTCCTATAACTGTTAGTATGGCATTTGTAGCCCAAGAATTCTTGAAAGAGATAATGCAAGTGCTATAGAGATCCTTTGTCTTTCCTGTGCCAGGACGCAACTGAGCTTTTCTTGTTTAGGTTCTGACTCATCTACGTATACACTTCAGATACTATCCTGCAAATGCTATAATCTCCAAAAGTTTTTATTTATTTATTTATTTTAAATGTAATTTGGATGTAGTCTGGTCATGCTTAGAATAATGGGTACTCAGTTCTTTCTTACTTGCAGTGAAATATCTTCCTTAAAGGACTGACAAATTCTGCCCACCAGTGATATCTGCTAATAGGATTTTCAAAGTTAATATCAAAGCCTTTCTTGCAATCATGGACCTTTATTTATTTATAGACTCTTTGATGGTTCTAATCAATGTAAAGCCTGACTGATTGCTGTAAAATTGTGCACTATTTATATCTCATAATTTGAATTGTGCCCTTTATATCTCATAACTTTATATTGAATATGGTTTTATAGCCTGACCTATTTCTGTGTTTCAGTAATGTATAACTTTTTGATTTCCCTTTTAAGGAATCTTTTGTGCTTCCCTTCTCATATTTGAAATATCCACACCATTTCCTGGATGTACAAAGCCTTGCAAAAATTAATTTAGATCACTGAACCCAATCTTTTGCTCAATGTATTGTAGATATATAAATTAAAATATCCTCAGCTGCATAGCCTCTGCTTCAACACAACCAGTGAAAGGGAGCCTGCTGTCTCTCAGAGTAATCAGTTATTCTATTTTAATGGCACTTGAGGATTTGATTGTCTTCCCAGTTTCTTATCTAGTTTCTTCTCAGCATTTTGCAAGTTGGATTTAAAGAAACTGTTACCTTGTGTTATCACTTTGCCAATCTCTCTCCACCATCTAATTCCAGACTTTCTACATGGGCACTTTCTACATTAATACAGAGGTCCCCAACCTTTTGAGCACCAGGGGACTGGTTCCGTGGAAAGGTTTTTCTGTGGACCGGAGGGGATGTGGTTTCATGTACAGTACTGCCTGCATCCCGCGGATGGGGCTTTGCTTGATTGCGCGGACCGGTTTCTGGCATATGGTGGACCGATGTCGGTCCATGGACTGGGGGTTGGGGATCCCTGCATTAATAGCTTTTATTTTTTTAAAATGTTCTAGCTCTCTGTAGGACACACACATAGATTTATCTGGTAGTTATTAAGCATTATAGATTGGATCTTAAAGCCTTCCAGACATCAGTTTGACAGGCATTGTTACCCTCCACATTAACCCAGTATGATATGAAAGGACTACAATTCAGTCTTCTGATCTTTTAAAATCTGCTCTCATTTTTTTCAGATTTTTTTCCTAATGATTTATTTATTAAATTTATATGCTGCCCATCTCACTATGAACAACTCTGGTCAGCTAAGTATGTAACTTCATATATCTTGGTTAAATTATGTCCTGTAATTTTCATTCCATTCTACTTTAAGATTAGAAATCCCCCCCCCCCCCAAAAAAAAGCAAGGGGTAATTGGTAGGAAGTTGCCAATTGCTCTATCTTTTCAAGTTGTTTTGGAAAAAAGAGGCTTGGAAACATCCAATTTCTAAAGTGTTGTATAGTTCTGCTTGAAGTTTTTGAAAATTCCTTTTTTTAGTCTGTATGGAGAGGTGTGATCAATCTACTTCAGAAAATACCTTGGCTTGCATTTGGTCCATCACCCCAGCAAATAACAGTCTTATTCCCAATCTTTTCATAGGTGAGAGAGGAATGTCGCCTCCTTGTTGCTCCCCCTGTGCCACCTCGTGGTGCCCACACATCAGCCACCTCCAGCCCTCCAATGCCTGTGCGCTTTCCCAAGCTCCAAACGGCAGCATCACCCAGTGCCAACCTCTCATACTACTCATCCGGACTTCATGACATGTGAGTGATGAAACTGGGATTGCTTCTACAGGGGGAGTCATGAGATACAGCTTCCTTGTAGGAACTCAGTTGGGAAGATGAGAGTGGGGAGCATGCAGTACTGCATATGCTTAAAGGCATTTGCTTTGTCTTTGTGTACTGTAAGACACAATATTATGAATGAAGTCTTAAAGTACAAACTTCTGGGCTGGTATCCAGAGACCTTGAATGATCTTCCTTCTTATCCCTGAATTAGCTGATTGAGTGATCTGTGCACTTACCATTGCTAGATTCAGGGGATGTGCAGGCATGCTGAGGACAACAGCAAGAACTGGTGCAAGGAAATACCATATGAGTAGAACTTTTCTTGTTGGTTGACCTTTAACAGAGGCATATCTTCCTGCCTTGATGCTAGAAAATTTAGTCCTCCATTAAGTTTTATGCAAAAAAGAACAAGAACACATTTCCACATTTACCAGGAAATAATAAATAAGATCTTTAATCCTGAGAGTTAATGGTACAATATAAACAACACTTTTCCTTCAGGTGTGGCTGCTTGCTGGTTTCTTTTTTTCCCTAAAATGTACAATATTATGGAAAGCTTAATTATACATAACAGTATCAGGCACATAAAGCAAAGTATCTTTCTGTGGAAGAAAAGCATGGCTTTGATAAAAGCAGCTATGCCTCTCTATTGTTTTGGACTATGTGTTTGGATTCTCCAAAAATGTTTGTAAAAACATTGACCTCTTATTCCCATGGCTGTGGCACTTTGAACTTTCTATCAGTCTCAGAAAAATAATGAAAAGGGATAGTACAGCTGGTTTTCTCACTGGCCCCTGGCACTTATATTTTACCTAACAATATAGCTGATTGGGAAGAAACTTCCAGAGTTAGAAGTTGGGGGTGTTGAATGAAAATGACAGCAATGCCTTTTTAATAACAAGCAATATTGGATGAATTATGGTAATTTTTAATTTTCAAGAGATTTGTATATGCTTAAATCTATTTATGGAAACTGCATGTTCAGCGTGCATGAAATGTCTCTTGGCCTTCTTTGTTGTCAGGCAAGGATGTCTTTTGAGTAGTGAGCACAACAAGGTTTTTCAAATTAAGGAAGTTGGAACAATGCATTGGAAAAACTTTGGAGGTACGGTGCACATCTTTAGATGCTGCTGGTTTTAAGATACTAACCTGCTCCAGACTTGTGATCAGAGAGCTCCAAATCCCATTTCACTTGAGCTAGCTCTGATACTGTTCGTTTTCTTTGCCTGCCAGGTCAAGACCACGAAGCGGTAGCTGCTCCCCGTCTCCGGACTCCTACTCCTTGTACTGCTATCCCTGCACATGGAGTGACTGCAAAGTTGGAGAGTCCACAAGTCGGCAGTTGGCCAGCCCTCAAACACAACTGCCATCTCAGCCCCCACCTGCTCCAATGTCTTCCTGGTCTGACCCTTGGCCATGTAATGATCCAGGCTCAAGTGTGGCCACTGGGAGATCCACTCCTCTGTTGGGGAGCAGTGATGCCAACGCCATCAAGAGCTACCATAGCTGCCCTCGCCTGAAACCTCCCCCTCCACAGAAACGCTTTGCTCCCTTTGGTGCTCTTAACCCCTTTTCCAATCCAGCATATTCTTCCAGTCCAGCTTCCTCTTGCTCCTCAGACTGGCTGGAATCTCTTGAATGGCAGAAGACAGCTGCCTCTTCCATAGACACTTTTGATCTCTTTGAAGGCACTTCCTCCCCAGAGGGGCACCGTAGCCCTGCACCACCATCTCGCTCATCGAAACCCTTTGACACGGCTGAAAATATTGTCATTCGGACGTCAGTAGCCCCTTTGTCATCCACCATTGTTCATGGCTCCGAAGCTGGCATCACCCACCTTTATCTGGCTCAGGGGGTCATTGAGGCACCTCCTGCCCGTCTCAATGGAGATGGTTCACCCTGGCAGCCTCCTGGCGATTTATCGGCGCTGTCACTAGAGGAGGTATCTAGGTGCTTACGCTTCATCGGCCTCTCTGAGGATGTGGTCAGCTTCTTTGCCCGGGAACGCATTGATGGTAGTATCTTTGTACAACTCACTGAGGAGATCTTATCTGAGGATTTTCATCTAACCAAACTTCAAGTCAAAAAAATAATGCAGTTCATCAAAGGCTGGAGGCCCAAAATCTAGATTGGGGAGAGAAATTTTCTCTGTGGATTGCAGGAGTTAGATTCAGGCTGTCCCCTAAGTATAAAACTAGGAGAGAGGCCAAAGCAGATACCGCTATGTCAAAAATGATAGCAGGGGGACATGAACCCAAGAGCAACACAGGATTTTGATTGTCAGTTTTAACCACAAACCAATGCAAGGAATTGGCAGGAGGTTGCAAATTTCCTTTTACGGAAACGGGCAAAGTAGAAATCAGAGCAAAATAGTTGCACATGAATGATACTTTATGATGGGTTACTATTGTCTTTGTGCCAAGATTAGCAAGGAGAGTTAATTGCCTTACGTAATTCTTGGGTTGATGGTGTAGAAGAGGAGGAAAGCAGCATAGCCAATTTGTGGGAAGAGGGTTACATGTTCCTTTTCTGGCCAAGTCTCAGAATCATCAGAGCCAAGTTGCCTACTTTTCCTGGGATAACATTCCTATTCATCTTCTGACTGTTTCACGTAACATTAGCTTGGAAGGGTTTTTGTTTTGTTTTTTAGTAAGGGACAGGTAGTGCATATGTATCTTTATGATTGTTTGGGGGCAATCAGTTTGAGGGGGACTCTTGATATAGAAAGAAAGTAGCAGCAACACACACAAAAAGAGGGGGTGTATCTGCATTTTTCCCCCCAACTGCCTTCACAAGGTTTTATACTTAAAACGTTTGGAATGAAATGTAGGCAATGCTATACTTTATAGCTGAAAGAGGTTTGGATAGAACTCACCTGGCAATCTCTGCCCTAGAAACCCCAATCCTTAATCTGGGGTCTAGATTAAAATGTCAGTGTGTCAATTTATATTTTACAGCGTTGCTTAGAGCCCCACTTCCACATGCAGGCTAATTTCAGTGTTGTACTGAAATGCTGGAGAAAGCATCCTGCATGTAGAAAATCAATGGGCTTAAAAGAAGGATTTTAGAGTAATTTAGAATTTGCTAATTGTGCAAAATCAGTGTGTATGCTGACAGTGGTGTGCACCCACCTGCAATTCAAAGGGCTGCAGGGTAATAAAAGCTTGATGATTCTGCTGTTTTTACCCAGAACACTGACAACTGCATAAGGCCACCTTCCTAAACACTTGAACTTTTTAAGCACCTTTGCACTGCTGTAAGGGCTAAAACCGTAATAACTGTGTGCTGCTTAAATTTCATGTTTCTGCACTAAAATTGTGGAATATTTGGGCAGCCTACAGTTTTGCCTATGCAGAAATTCTGTAGCACCCACTGACAGTTTCGTCTAATTTGTTTCTACTATTCTTAACCAGATGTCTGTGTGATTTTTTTTGGGGTGGTGGTGGTGGTGGCAGTTATTTACTGCACCTTAGTATAATGTATAGACAGTTGGTGGTTTTTTAAAAACCCAACCTGTAAATCTTTAGGCATTTTACTAATCTTCCTCTTTTCTCTTGGCAATTTCGTTCTGTAATTGCCTGCCTACTACAGTCGAGTTTTCCACATTTCAGCAGCAACTGCCTGTTTCCTAAGACAACCACAACTTACTTTCACAATTGTTTTTAGCTGAAAATGAGGCTAAATGATTTAAGCCTAGAGGAGTTCAATGTATTCATTTCTACTTTTAGTACTGCAATAATCAAATAAACATTTATTTAAAAATGTGTGCCTAGAATCTGTTGTTCAGAAACAAACTGAATATCTGTTAATAGCAGAGTTCCCAAAGCTTTCCGGCTTTGTGGCTTGGTGGGGCGGGCGGGGGGGATGGTTCCACATGAGTGGTGGGCACACACACCCGCCACTCACGCAAATGGAGGGCGCACATGCTCAGCTGCTATTCATGCAAGTGGGGATCTGCACATGCTCAACCACCATTTCCGCAGCCCAATTCCGAATGGCTCAAGGCCTGGTAGTGGTCCGTGGCTGGATTGGGGACCCCTGTGTTATAGAATAGCAACTAGAGTTATCAGCTACTTTCAATAAAGATGGGAAGAGAACAAACCAAAGCAATCGTGCTACATCAGATTATGAGCCTCTCCTGTCTAAATGTCTTCATACAATGAGGTAACCTCAAGGAAGCTTTCAAGCAAGATAACACACAATTGCACTCCTGCTTATGTTCCCCAGCAACTGACACTGAAAAGATAGGCTCCTTCTCCCCCAAACTGGCAACTTATAAAATAAGCCAAAGTGTGCTGGATCCCCATCCCTTAAAGGCTGATTTGTTTTATTTAAAGCATCTGGCTAGAGAAAGATGCCTTCATCTGCTTCAGTATTTTGATTGTTTATTTCCATACATGGAATTACTTTTGGGTTGTAATGCTGATTGTCCTAATTTGGATGCTTTTGGAGCTCTTAGCAGTGCCCCCAAACCTTTTACAAATTTTCTACAATAACTCTGTATCGTGTACTTCCTCGCCTCCAACCTAGATCGTTTTGGTGTAAGTTAGGAAGTTCTAGTCTCAGTAAAAATCCTTGGGCAATTTCCATTCATTTAACTTAAATGTCTTCAACATGGTTTGCCAATACACCCCAGCTGCCTATTGATGCCCTCAAGCTACCAGCTCTCCCCACTGAATTTAATTATACTGCCTCCAACACAATATTGTCAAGAATAGCTCTACACTACAAAGCATTTCTGAAAAATAAAAATGGCAGAATTTTAAACCTTGTGTTTATGCATAAGAAAAAGAAAATATGTTAAGGAGATCCTAGAGAAATTTGATGAACAGAAAGGTATTATTTTGTAAGCTAATGCATGCCCACTGAATAGATTTTGCTTGTTTACTTATTTTTACACAGCATGTTTTTGCTTTGATGCATGTATATATTTGGTGTAAATCTTGCTTAATTTGTGTTTTGTCCTGGATATAGCACATGCAAAACTTCATGAACTCTAGTACTAGCAAAATCCCAAATCCATCCTGAAAATCCCTGCATTCTCAGATTTATTGACTTATACCAGTGGTAGGCTCTCCAGGATGCTCTGGAGATCTTCAAATGACCTTTGATAAACTAACCTTATCAGAGCACAGAATCCCAGAGGTTTCAGCCTCAACTGAACTTTGTTTCAGTTATTCAGCATTTTAGTAGCAGTTCTAACCCTGAATGAATGACAAAATGATGTATAGAACAATACACTAGAATTTATTCTTATGAATTTTTTGCAAGCTACATCTGCTTTCCGATGAGTAGTTCCTTGCAATGGGCCTGAAAAGTACCATACTTTGAGCAGAAACCTCCCCATTCTTTCTCGTGATAATGGGGAAATTAACATTCAGCCTGATGAGGGGTGGGTCAGGAAGAAGTAGTGCCTGAATAACTAAGGCACTTAAAAGAGTTAAAACCCACAGCCCTCCGATACGAAGATCTCTTGTAGGTCTTCCCTTTTTCTTTTTGGTTAGCAGATGCCAATTCAGGCAGTTCTCTTGTGAAATTTCTTGCTGGAATCCTTGGCATGGTCAAGCAGCAACTGGCACGGTGTGAATTGACTCCCATAGACATCTTCATACTTCTTCATGCAGTCCACGAGCTGCTGGGCCCCAAAGTGGTCTGCATATTGGAAGGGGCCTGCCACAACATTCACAGAAGTGAGGGAGGAAAAGAAGGTGAGACTTCCTAAACAATGTGGTCTTTATGCCAAAATTATTTCATAATGCTGGCCTTGACTGCCATTATACCTTGATTACAAGCATTAATGTATTTGTAGGTATCTGATAAAAAATAATTTGCAAGGCGAATAATGAGTGGATACACTAAATATATAACAGTGTGGACAATCAAGTTCCACTGGATCTTACAAACTCTGGAACCACAGACAACTTTACACAGCAAAACGAATGCTATGGAATGGTGGGAAATGCAATTCAACACATTCAGAGGACTCCAGGATGCCTGTACTTATCCCTGGAACCACAGTTCAACTATTGCCGGTTCCTGGTAATCCTCAAGAACACTGTAGGGTAGCTAAAATTGCTGCTGCTAAGAAAGATGTCAGTGTTTTGACTATTTAATGCCTATTTGCAAGAACTCAAGAAGTATTTCCTTGTGGAAGGAGTTATACTGTGGAACAAGGCAATCCTGCTGCCAATTCTACATTACCAATTGAAAAAATGCAAGCCAAATTACTATCACTTCAAAAGCTTGTAAGATTTTTCCATTATTAACATTGCTTCCAACCCTTCGGCTATATAAAAGACATTGATTAATTTGACAACTCTCACCTCCCAGGCATGGTGGGAAGCCTAGTCCAAATACAGCTCCAATGTCTCCCTCCACAGGATTGCTGAGGATGCCCTCTTGTAAGGTCAAAATGGCTTCATTCACAAACCTGGTCACCAACCGCATTTGGATATCTTTCTCTGTGGACCTGGGAAGAGAAGCAGTAATTCATTATCCACCCTCACGGATAGATTAGAAACATAGCAGCTGAAGCAGTGACATAGAAGGGAGGGGACTATTATCCAGTGGCAGAGCTGACAAGTCTCAGCAATCTTCATTTAACTGGATTTCAGAAAACAGCCTATTTTTTTTTGTATTTTGCAGAAGGGGGGCAGGTTGAAAGCAGACTAGGATCCAACTGAAAATATAAGTTTGCAATACTTGGGGGAAAACCAACACGGTTTCATATATGGATTTATGCTTTTCAATGCTTTTCCATGCAGATGATCTCAGGCCAATTCTGGGATGTTCTGCGTGCAGATGTGTAAGGATTTCTGACAGCAAATTTGGGGAAAAGCTCCATCTATCTGAAATATTGCTAGTTAGAGTAAAATAAATTGTGCTAAACGGATAATGTTATGATTCCACATGACAGCTGTTCATGTATTTACATGTGAGCAGGGAATAAGTAAAGCCAATGATCAGGCCTTATTCTGGAATGCTGCATCTATTTAGGAAACCTCTCTTTTCCCACTTACACCTCTGGGTTGGCAGCGACTTTGAATTTCTCTAGAATTTCATTCATTCCAGTGTTGAGTTCCCGATTCTTTACACCTTGCTTGTAAATATAAAAGCCTTTTCCTCCTT